CTATTTCTAATTGATAATCACCCACAAAAGAAAAATAAGTTATCTCCAGTGGAGTCTCTCTGGGGATACATATAACTCTTAAGGGCAGGCCCCATACCCAGCAGTAGATGGCCAACACAAATGAACTCAATGGTGTCTTTGGAAAGTCTTTGTCTCATAATATTTTCTCAGGATTTTTTTTAACCTTATAGGTCCTTTGTGTATATATTGTGGCTTCCAGTTTGGTGTTTTATGGGATTCCTACATGTACAAATTTGTGCATCTCTGCGTCTATATGTGTGTCTTGTGCTTTTTCTTTTGTAGTTTCACCTACTCTCTTTTATTTGTTTTTGTCTTATTTTATTATTATTATTATTATTATTATTATTATTATTATTATTATTTAAATTCCCGTGTTTTTTCTAATGAGGGGCATACAGGGTGTGGGTTTGATTGGGAGGGGAGGTGGGGAGGATCTCAGATGAGTTGGGGGAGGAGAAACTAATAAAAATATATTGTATGAAAAAAATCCATGTTCAACAAAAGAAAAATAGAAAAACAGAAAATAAATAAAAGCCAGCTTATGTAGGAATAATACATTCTTTTTCTTACTCTGAAGGTAACTCCCCAGCTTCTTTGACCTGTAAAGAGGCCGTTGGTAGAAGCCTTGCAGCGTAGAGGAGCATCAGCAATCTTTAGGATTCCTTGAAGGCTTTCTGACATTTTAGGGTTGGTTTAGGACTGTGATTGCTTACTTGTTGCTCAGGAAGTGGATTTTTCATCTCCAGCTGTATGTTTCCAGGATTCAGGAGGAATACCGATGTTTTATAAGCTACTGTGAGAATCCCACAGTAATAGAATACCGTACACACATTTTGCTTCTTTGTGTGTACATGTTCATGTGGGTGTGTGCACATGTGAGCAGGTGCCTATGCATGTGTGCATGGAGGGCAGGGCTTGACGTTGAGTGCCTTCCTTTTGCTTGCTCCATTTTAAGTTTTGTAACATAGTCTTTTTGTGAACCCAAACCTCAGCAATTTGACTAGGCTGGCTTGTCAGTGAGTTCCCGAGGATCCTCCTGTCTCTTTATTCGCAGCAATGGGGTTATGCTACACCCAGCTTTTTGTATGAGTATTGGGGATTCAAACTCAGGTCTTTTAAGTTTGTTTGGCAAACATTTTATTATTGTATTACCCCAGCCCTTGCTTTGCTTAAGATTAAATTAGTGATAGTGGATGATTAGAATTTGCTTGTGTAATTCATGGATATAAGTTATAGTAACAATAGGTATTGTGACATAGAAACTACAGGTATGCCATATTCTTGTAGCTCACTGGAAGTTTCCTCATGGTTTTACATTAGCTAATGGGTGTTTTCTGGTCACTAAAGGGAAACTACACAGATGGATCTGGCCAAAGTATTAGGGAGCCAATAGTGATCACTTTAAGATGGTCATTGGGTGATCACTGAGTTACCTGATGGCTGTTGTGATTGGATAATCTTTGCAGGATGATTTTAAAAAAAGACTTTATACAACCATCAATGTCAGGGTGTATACAGGTATTACAGGAATAGACAGGGAAATAAATAGGGGCATTGGGACAATTCTCTATTGCTGGATACTTTAAGAAGTTGCTGGCCTTTAGCCAACTCCAGAACTATCCCCCTGTTTTTATCTAAGACAATCTCTCCCAAAAATTACCTTTTCAGTCTTGCAATCTTAATTTGGTGTATGAAAAAAAATAATAAAACTTAGTTTTTTAGTCTTATAAGTTTTCTTTCCTGAATTATACTTAGGCCTCCATTTTTGAAATGTAAGAGCCAAACATCTGAGTGCCTTTCTGCCCTGCTTCTCACTTAAGGTGTAGAGTGAATCTTTTACAGTTTCCAGGACCCAGGAAAGGGTCTCAGCGTTCCTGCACATGAGATAGAAGTGGAGGGAGGAAGCCAGTGGGTCAGAGTTGAGAATGTCCTCTCCTGTAAACTGCTTAATTTACTACATTCATGTCAACAGGGCACCAAACCCTCTGTCCGGCATTCCCTCACAACCCTATAGAAAAGGTACTGTTTTGTGATTTAGTAGATGAGCAAAGGAAGTCCCTAGAAGTTAAGAAATGTATACAACACGGATAATTAGGATAACGGGCATTCAAACTCCCAGCTTTCTAACTTCCAAATCAATTTGCTTGCCCATAAATTGACCACTGGCAGCCTAGAGAGGGATGATGCATTTTGAGGAAATAACACTGAGCCCTCTCACTTTATTTGTCTGATTCCAGCACCAGGTTAAGAACGGAGCTTGCAAACTGGTGTTGTGAGGTGAACATTTCCCCTGGCTTAGACCTGGGCTTTGTGCTAACAGCACACACATTACTGGAATGTTAAGAGGTTGGGCCTCCTTTTGCTGTCTGAGTCAGTGCATAGGCGTCAGCTTTTCTTTTATTTACTGGGGGTGTCTCCTGTGGAATCCTCAGGGACCTGCAGGCGCCCAGCCTGCATCCAGCACTGTCCTGCCTTAGCAGGCTATTGCAGAACAGCAAGCAATTGTTTCCCTTCCGCTTCACTCATAACGGTCTCTGCTTTCACCTGGGCCTCCTTCTAGTAAACTCTATTCTTCACCTTCCTCTGGATGGCTACTCTGGCCCACTGCCATCTCCACAGGAAAACAAGAAGCCTTCCTTTCTGGGATAAGAGATTTCACATTCTCTACTGTAGCTCCCTTAGTAGATAAAGATTTTTGGCATGTCTTCAAGGATGTTGTAGATGAATTATCCACCTCTGTGCTTTCTCCCATCTGCTTTTATGACATTTCTTCCACTCTTCATTATCCCTTGTAACTTTTGTTGATGACAAAAGATACCCTCCATTTACATTTGAAAAAGGATAGTGGGTACAGTGGCAAAGCCAGAACAATGGTCTCACTTAATCTTATCCTCATTTACTATTTTAATAAAGACTTCTTTTAGTATCTGATGCTGTATCTGCAAAGTTTATGATGCATCTTTTACATTCATTTCCACGTTTAAATTCTAATATCTTCCCTCTCATCCCAGAGCAGCTTAATACACTGCAAGGAACACTTCCCTTGATGATGAAAACAGTATTTGTAAGGTAAGTGGGGCTTTCAATTTCAGTGTGAGCAGGAGACTCATCAAGGAATGTGTTCCATGTCCTCGCACCTGATTTCTCATTGCTATGTGTGTCTGAATTTAGAACATGGTTATTTGATAATTTTGGAGGATGAGAGAAGAATTAAGCCATTTGTGCTAGATGACTGAAAAATCAATTAAGAACACCTGCAGTAGCCTCAATGTTGACAGTACCAGGAGAAATCAGATGACCTAGGACCTGGCTAGGTTTACAGTCTCTAAAACCTAGAGAGAATTTTTTTCAAGGATGGATTTATACTAAGAAGGCATGTTGAGATTGTTATAGAATTGCTAATGTCACCTTATGAATTCACAAGTAGCAATGCAATTATTATCTGCTCTGGAATATGTAGGTGGCAATAGCCAGCACATGGGTTTTCATTATTTCTCTGTGTAAAGGTTTGCATGTGAAACTAACCTGTAACCAGAAGTAGGCATGGAAATCATGGACTTCACATATGAAGGTCATACATACTCTAGCATTCAGCTAATATTATCTAATGCAGTGGTTGCTTTCTACCCAGGTTCTGGCTCCAGGATTATTAGGGTATGCACAATTTTCAGAAGCCTGGGACAAGTGAAGTCTGGTAGCCCAGGAGTTTATTCTGGGTACGTAGGAAATTGAAGCAGATGAATTGCCAAGTTCAAGGCCAGCTTAGGGAATTTTGCAAAACTCTGTCTGAAATTAAAAACTACAAAAACCAGACCTGGTGATATAGTTCAATGATACAGCATGTGCCTAATGCACAAGGCCCTACCTTCAGATCCCAGAACTATATGGGACACAACATAACTACTATTGCTGCTGCTGTGATAATAATAAATATATGATAATTATAAATATTATTGTTATTTATTAAGATTTTTACAGTAGTGCCATTTTTCTCAAAGTCTATTGGGCAAGATTCTTCTGAGTGGTGTTTGCAATCACACCACCAAAACAAATACTGGCTACTTATCTTTGTTTGGGGAATCAAGGATGATTGATTCCCTTTTCCTATTGGCTTTTGCATCTACACAAATGCTTACTCTGGCAGGGTGCTTTTAACTTTAGACTGCTTTAGCTGTGCTTTGCTTTAACGTGCGGTGGTCACACACATTCCTTAATGTAGAAACTTGTTATTTTCTTTGCAAACATCGAGAAGTTCCTGTTATTTTTATCTTACATTCCATGTGCTTTCTCCCCTCCCCAAAGAAACAAATTGGTTGGCAAAAAGAGGTTTATCTCTATCTGTAAAATTGTGCATAGACAAAAAAATATTTTATGGAAACAAGGAGTTGTGGATTTTAGCAGACGGGAGGAACTATTTCCCCTTATAGTAGCACAGAATGATCTTCATGAAGTAGAAACATGGCATGCCAGTACCTTTCAGAGAATTCTGTTTCTTCTGAGTTTTCTAAACTAGTTCTCCTTTGGTACTGTGCTTTCTCTGTGAGCCTTTCTGCTCTTCCCAGGTTCTGTTCACTGTGAACCTTTATAGGGCCCTCCATTCATGTGATCACAACTCACATCCTACATTAAAAACTGCCTTTTGGAGCCTTGATGCAGGGAGAAGAGATGGGTTCTACCTCAACCTGATGTGCCATGCTTTATTCAAGTTCATGGGAGGCCTGCCCTTTCAGAAGAGGAGTGGGTGGGGAGGGGATAGATGGGAGTCAGAGGCGGAGGGAACAGGAGGAGAATAGGGAGGGGAAACTGTGGTAGGTATGTAAAATAAATGAAAAAAAAATGTTAATAAAATAAAAAAAAATGACTCTTGGTGTAGTGGATTTTAGGATAAAGTTCTAATTCAGCCACTCCTTTCATAGTGGTAACTTATTTCAGCCATTTTTTTTTTCCTGTGGGATGTTCTGTATGCTGTGAATGTGTTGCTCTGATTGGTTGATAAATAAAATGCTGATTAGTCAGTAGCCAGGCAGGAAGTATAAGCAGGATAAACAGACAGGGAGAGGAAGGCTGACAGGGAGCAGCATGTAATGGCACACAGGTAAAGCCACAGAACATGTGGCAACATATAGCTTAACAGAAATGGGCTGATTTTAAGTGTAAGAGCTAGTCAGTAGGAAGCCTGAAGTAATGGACAAGCAGTTTTAATTAATATAAGCCTCTGTGTGTTTACTTGGGTCTGAGCAGCTGTGGGCCCTGGCAGGATGAAAGAAAACTTCAGCTGCACCTTTTTAATGAAGCCCAAACACCAGAAACACAGGCCAGCCTTTCACTGCTTTCATTTAAATATATATGGTGGTTAGAATTAATCATGATTTTTACAGTTCACTATAGATGATATTAGAGAGGTGTGATATTTAAAAGATAAATTTAATTAAAAATTTGGGGCTTTTAAAAATTACTTTTGCGTTTAATTTCTAGAGAGTTATTACTTATTGTTAATTTGAGTGCTGTTCTCACCAGCATCTTTATTAAGCTGAACAAGAGTGGAGAGAGAGGGAGACTCCTTTCAGAAGTAAGTTCGTGCCATTTCTCAGGGTAATTGAGAGAAAGTTTGTGAATCTGTGTGTTCACTCTAAATAGATCCAGGGCTTTTCAGTGGCGTTAATATATAGTGTAATTTTATTGTTTATATTGACATTTTTAAAAAATATTTTCCTGAAGGAGAATTTACTTGTAGGATTTTAAAGCTATAAATTCACGAGCTTTCCTAAATCCTTTGTTTCTGCTTCTGCTGCCACGGCTGCTTTCTTACAGGTGTTCTGTGTTTCCCCAGCAGCTGGTGAAGGGGGCAATGCTTTTCTGCTTCTTTACAACCTCTCCTCCCATCCTGGGTACCATTCCTCTCTTCTCAGATGCCCGACTTCTCAGAAACACCTGGATTCGCCTTGGCTTCGCTTCCTTCTTCCCTAGCTCTGTTATTTAGTACTTATTTTCTTCTCTAAGGGTTAATAATATAGGATGAGGAAAATTAACTGAGATGGTATTTGAAAAATATATAACATGGTTCCTAGTACAGATCTAGCTGTAAAGCATGAGACGTTTCCGTTTTCAGAATATTTTCCATTTTGTAACTTACAACCTTGGGTCTCCAGCCAAACCATGCCTATGGGTACCCAGAGTCCTGCCATTCCAGTGACACTTCTTCTCTTGTGTTAAAAGTCATTAACTTGCCCTGGTGCTGAACTGTCTCCATCCTCCAACAGAGAGTCTCTGCCTAATTGTCACTGTCCCTCCTGGGAGACTAGTGATAAAAGTGGTGCTTCTCTCAGGGGCTGCTGTGAGGGTGCAGTGATTTAGTACCTGTAGATCTCTTCAGAGAGCACACGTCCCACTCTGAGGACTCCACCAGCACTAGCATGGGCGTCACTTTGGGTTGTTTTTGTTAGTGTCTAGCACTGGGCTTTGCACAAAGCCGAGCTCAATGAGGACTAAATGAGCAGAAGCAGGGAAGAGAGAGGTAAACGTGCTGTTCTTCCCATGACAGCTGCAGAACAGCATGGAAATAAATAGCAGTGCGATTAACCCCTGCTACCTCCATGTCCCTTTTTGTGGTGATGTTTCTGTTTTCCTGCTGGAAGCCATCTCTGTGCATGACGTTCTGTAGGTATCAGCCTTCTTCCTTCAGCTTCACAGTGACAAAGCTGTCAATAACTGTTCACTCAATATTTCCTATTCCCTACTCACTGTGACACTAGGCGAACAGGATGGACAACGAACAAAGGTTTATCAATACAAGTCAGACACAGGACTTTTGTTAGCACTACTGAAAAAAAAACCGTGTGATTATTTGCTCCAGGATTATTGACTTATTCAGATGTAAACCTGGAGCTGCTGGTAGTCATGCTTGTTCTAACAAAGGAGCATCCACCTGTGAGCAGAGCTAAACCCCCATGAGTCCTGACATAACTAGTCCTGAATTCAGATCTACTCCTGAACCTTTCTCTTAGGTATGAAACTGTAAATGTGGTACAAGCAATCCTAGGGATCCTGGTATTCTCCTAGGTACTCCCAAGGCTAAAATTAAAAACTTCACAATAATTAGATTTTTAATGTCTACATTTTTAGTGTCATTTTCTGAGGAAGATAAAGTAGAGTTTGAGGAGATAATTATGAGTGTCAGTCCAATAAACTGAATGTAGGTGCAGGGATGAGAATGCAACTATTTTTTATTAAGACAGACTTTGAAGACATAAGAATATGGAACAATAGCTGCATTCTGATTTTTTTTGTTTGAATTATATAGTTACTTTTTGCATAAAAGTTTAAAGTAATTCTTAGAATTAATTTCTAATGTAGTAACTAGGATTCACATCAAGAAACACTCTTTGGAATAAGTTCTTTAGGATATAAGGGGGATTCTAGAGTGAAAATATTTATTAAGCTTTGAATTATTCAAACCAATGAATTCTTCACATACATACATGCAGAGGTCATATTTAGTTGAGATTTCCTCACGGTCAAATGAAGGAGTCTTACTATTGTGTTAATGTCCTTGGAAAAAGCTATTAGGTGAAGTTAAGGTGCCCATTTGGTCAACAATAAATTTTTGTCGGAAAGAGGAAATTGGTATTTTCACTTTCTAGAATATGAGTTATAACCACGAGTTACAGAATGGATTAATATTTTTAGATGATGGAACCATTAGAAAGTGAGGCCTCATGATGGTCCTTAGGTCATTGAAGATGCCCCTCAAAGGAGACTATAGTCCCCTATTTCTAGTTTTTGTTGTTATTTTGCTTCATGGCTCAAGATGTGTCCACTTATTCCAACATGGATTCCCACCATTAATATCTATCATTTTCATTAGCGGTCATGGGGACAACCCATGTTGAACTTAAGATCTTAGAAACCATTTGAGAAATAAGCTTTATAAATAACCTGAGTCTTTATAAATAACCTGTGTCAGGTATCTCATTGGAGTAACACGAATGTGAATAATTAACCCTCCTCTCCTAAAGAAAATGAGGAGATGGATAGTAATAAGTGAAAGAAATCAGGAGTGTGCTGAAATA